TGGATTTTTTTCTCATTTTGTCTGTCATAGTTGACGTGTACCTATGATGAAAATTACAGGCCTCTCTCATCTTTTTAAGTGGGAGAACTTGCACAATTGGTGGCTGACTAAATACTTTTTTCCCCCACTGTATATACAGTGAGGGAAAAAAGTATTTGATCCCTTGCTGATTTTATATGTTTGCCCACTGACAAAGAAATTATCAGTCTATAATTTTAATGGTAGGTTTATTTGAACAGTGAGAGACAGAATAACAACAAAAAAATCCAGAAAAACGCACGTCAAAAATGTTATAAATTGATTTGCATTTTAATGAGGGAAGTAAGTATTTGACCCCCTCTCAATCAGAAAGATTTCTGGCTCCCAGGTGTCTCTTATACAGGTAACGAGCTGATTAGGAGCACACTCTTAAAGGGAGTGCTCCTAATCTCAGCTTGTTACCTGTATAAAAGACACCTGTCCACAGAAGCAATCAATCAATCAGGTTCCAAACTCTCCACCATGGCCAAGCCCAAAGAGCTCTCCAAGGATGTCAGGGACAAGATTGTAGACCTACACAAGGCTGGAATGGGCTACAAGACCATCGCCAAGCAGCTTGGTGAGAAGGTGACAACAGTTGGTGCGATTATTCGCAAATGGAAGAAACACAAAATAACTGTCAATCTCCCTCGGCCTGGGGCTCCATGCAAGATCTCACCTCGTGGAGTTGCAATGATCATGAGAACGGTGAGGAATCAGCCCAGAACTACACGGGAGGATCTTGTCAATGATCTCAAGGCAGCTGGGACCATAGTCACCAAGAAAACAATTGGTAACACACTACGCCGTGAAGGACTGAAATCTTGCAGCGCCCGCAAGGTCCTCCTGCTCAAGAAAGCACATATACAGGGCCGTCTGAAGTTTGCCAATGAACATCTGAATGATTCAGAGGAGAACTGGGTGAAAGTGTTGTGGTCAGATGAGACCAAAATGGAGCTCTTTGGCATCAACTCAACTCGCCGTGTTTGGAGGAGGAGGAATGCTGCCTATGACCCCAAGAACACCATCCCCACTGTCAAACATGGAGGTGGAAACATTATGCTTTGGGGACAGGACAACTTCACCGCATCAAAGGGACAATGGACGGGGCCATGTACCGTCAAATCTTGGGTGAGAACCTCCTTCCCTCAGCCAGGGCATTGAAAATGGGTCGTGGATGGGTATTCCAGCATGACAATGACCCAAAACACACGGCCAAGGCAACAAAGGAGTGGCTCAAGAAGAAGCACATTAAGGTCCTGGAGTGGCCTAGCCAGTCTCCAGACCTTAATCACATAGAAAATCTGTGGAGGGAGCTGAAGGTTCGAGTTGCCAAACGTCAGCTTCAAAACCTTTATGACTTGGTGAAGATCTGCAAAGAGGAGTGGAACAAAATCCCTCCTGAGATGTGTGCATACCTGGTGACCAACTACAAGAAACGTCTGACCTCTGTGATTGCCAACAAGGGTTTTGCCACCAAGTACTAAGTCATGTTTTGTAGAGGGGTCAAATACTTATTTCCCTCATTAAAATGCAAATAAATGTATAACATTTTTGACATGCGTTTTTCTGGATTTTTTTGTTGTTATTCTGTCTCTCACTGTTCAAATAAACCTACCATTAAAATTATAGACTGATCATGTCTTTGTCAGTGGGCAAACGTACAAAATCAGCAGGGGATCAAATATTTTTTTCTCTCACTACAAATATATATATATATATATATATATATATATATTATTTATTTATTTTTTTGCGAGAAAAAAACAATATGGGGGATTGGAAGTGATGCAGACAATTACATTGATGGAAGTTAGAATCTATCTGCAATATTAAAGCTGATCTACCCTAAAAAAATAAAAAAATAAAAATAATAATAAGAGTGTCCATGATTGAGTCTTTGAATGAAGAGATGGAGATAAAATCCTCCCGAGTGGCGCAGTGGTCTAAGGCATTGCATCGCAGTGCTAGCTGTGCCACTAGAGATCCTGGTTCGAATCCAGGCTCTGCCGTAGCCTGCCGCGACTGGGAGACCCATGGGGCGGCGCACAATTGGTCCAGGGTAGGGGAGGGAATGGCCGGCAGGGATGTAGCTCAGTTGGTAGAGCATGGCATTTGCAACGCCAGGGTTGTGGGTTCGATTCCAGTATAAAAAATTAAAATGTATGCACTCACTAACTGTAAGTCGCTCTGGATAAGAGCGTCTGCTAAATGACTAAAATGTAAAATGATAAAACTGTCCCAGTTTGAGTGTTTTTTGCAGCTCGTTCCAGTCGCTAGCTGCAGCGAACTGAAGAGGAGCGACCCAGGGATGTGTGTGCTTTGGGGACCTTTAGCAGAACGGGTGTTGTATGTGGAGGATGAGGGCTGCAGTAGGTATCTCAGATAGGGGGCATGAGGCCTAAGAGAGTTTTATAAATAAGCATCAACCAGTGGGTCTTGCGACGGGTATAAAGAGATGACCAGTTTACAGAGGAGTATAGAGTGCAGTGATGTGTCCTATAAGGTGCATTGGTGGCAAATCTGATGGCTGAATGGTAAAGAACATCTAGCCGCTCGAGAGCACCCTTACCTGAAGATCTATAAATTACGTCTCCGTAATCTAGCATGGGAAGGATGGTCATCTGAATCAGGGTTAGTTTGGCAGCAGGGTTGAAAGGGGAGCGATTACGATAGAGGAAACCAAGTCTAGATTTAACCTTAGCCTGCAGCTTTGATATGTGCTGAGAGAAAGACAGTGTACCGTCTAGCCATACTCCCAAGTACTTGTATGAGGTGACTACCTCAAGCTCTAAACCATCAGAGGTAGTAATCACACTGGTGGGGAGAGGGGCATTCTTCTTACCAAACCACATTACCTTTGTTTTGGAGGTGTTCAGAACAAGGTTAAGGGAAGAGAAAGCTTGTTGGACACTAAGAAAGCTTTGTTGAGCGTTTAACACAAAATCTGGGGAGGGGCCAGCTGAGTATAAGACTGTATCATCTACATATAAATGTTTGAGAGAGCTTCCTACTGCCTGAGCTATGTTGTTGATGTAAATTGAGAAGCGCGTGGGGCCTAGGATCGAGCCTTGGGGTACTCCCTTGGTGACAGGCAGTGGCTGAGACAGCAGATGTTCTGACTTTATACACTGCACTCTTTGAGAGAGGTGGTTAGCAAACCAGGCCAAAGACCCCTCAGAGACACCAATACTCCTTAGCCGGCCCACAAGAATGGAATGGTCTACCGTATCAAAAGCTTTGGCCAAGTCAATAAAAATAGCAGCACAACATTGCTTAGAATCAAGGGCAATTGTGACATCATTTAGGACCTTTTAAGGTTGCAGTGACACTTCCATAACCTGAGCGGAAACCAGATTGCATACCAGAGAGAATACTATAGACATCAAGAAAGCCAGTCAGTTGATTATTGACAAGTTTTTCCAACACTTTTGATAAACAGGGCAAAATAGAAATTGGCCTATAACAGTTAGGATCAGCTTGATCTCCCCCGTTAATTAAAGGATGCACAGTGGCTGCTTTCCAAGCAATGGGAACCTCCCCAGAGAGGGGAGACAGGTTAAAAAGGTCAGAGATAGGCTTGGCGATGATAGGGGCTGCAACTTTAAAGAAAGGATCTAAACCATCTGATCCAGATGTTTTTTTGGGGTCAAGTTTAAGGAGATCCTTTAGCTCCTGAGACTCAGTGACTGCCTGCAGGGAGAAACTTTGTAGCGGGGCAGAGGAAAAAGAGGGAGGAGCATCAGGGCTGGTCGCATTTGATGGGGTGGGAGATGAGGAAATGTTGGATGTGCAATGAGGCATGGCTGAATGAAATAGGAATCCTATGGGGATAAACCAATTAACCCTATATAGTTCTACTGAGCACCTTTTTTTTCTAAGTGTTGGGATCGAGAGGCTGTGTGAGAGGGAGTGGGGGTTGGGGTGTTAGCAAATGACACTGCTGTTAATGTGCAGGCCAGGCCGGGTCGACCCGTCTGCATTCTGCAGAATGGAGGCAAACATAACAGCAGAAAATCGCATCAGTCTAATGGGAGCTATGAACTGTCACCCTCTTAACTCCCAGCCCGCTGGGAGCCCACAGCACTTGTAGTGCAGGGAGCTAGGCTGAGGGATGGAGCCAGGGAGGGGAAATTGATGGATGCTGTGGCAGTTGCTGGGTGCAGGGAGGGGATGATTTAAGGCAGAGCTTCAAACTCATGCTGGCCTGATTACTCTCTCGCCCAACAGAAATGATAGGCTAACAGTTTTCCAAGCCGAGGTAAGCCAGCCAATGTTGTGCTACTGCCGACTGCTTACTGCTGCGAGTGACAGTCTTGTTTTAGCGGGAGCACAGCATTGAGCGAAAGCTTGCTGTGGCCGGACCAAACCATTCACTGATCAAGCATATGCTGCCCTCTGCTGGTACTGTATAAGTATTGTACTAAAACTGAACGGTGTCTCTTTTCATTTAATAATATAATAATATGCCATTTAACAGACGCTTTTATCCAAAGCGACTTACAGTCATGTGTGCATACATTTTTTACGTATGGGTGGTCCCGGAGATCGAACCCACTACCCTGGCGTTACAAGCGCCATGCTCTAACCAATTGAGCTACAGAGGACCACATTGAGCTACAGTGGACCACTTCTAACCATTTCAGAAAATACAGAAAATACTAACAAAAAACATTTGTCTGAACCCTTTATATCTGTCACATTGCGGTCATACAGAGATCTACAATATCCTCGAATTGTAAAGAGAAAAAAACGTGTTATTATTATGAGGAAAACATATCACCTTGAGCAGCAAACATGTACACTATTTATCATTATGTTGTGTGTGAGATTAATCATGTATAAGAAGCTTACTTTGTCAAAGTACAATACATGTAAACAGAGGTATGCAGTGCGCCATAGGAACAAACTATAGTGGGTAATTGTTCCCCCGTTGACGTACCACAAGGTGTCAATGTCCTGTAAAACACTTCCTGCTTCCGCTGTCACCAATTCTTGTCAATGTGTTTCTGTCTGTCTGTACTGTCAATCCTATTAGGCGGTAAGAGGGGAAGCTTTAGAAGAAGGACTTAGCTACTGGGCAGTCGGGGGAGCTAACTCATTCATTGAGTGAATAGCTTGTAATCAAGGAAATTATATAGCACTTAGCTGATAACAATTCCAATTTATTTCCCATACCCTAGCTAGTTTAGCTATCTAGCAAGCAAGTAGGTCGGTCACTGCAAGTTCTCTATATCCGAGCCTTCCCTTTCTGTGAGAATAGGAAATAAGATTACTAGTAGACATTATGGCGAATTTGCTCACCATGCAGTTTTGTACCACACTCAGAAAACCTGGGAATCTGAAGCCTCTGAGAAGCACTTCTACAGCACTGACAAACAAACGAAGCTACAGCAGCAAAGATAGCAAAGATAGAGAGTACCTGCATAAAAGCATCGTGCCTACAATGCACTACCAGAAGAGTTTACCCAGGTATGTAAACAAATGTGCATTTCCTTTCTAGCATGTTTTGGTTATTTAGTTACTTCTTACCTCCTCCTATTGCATTATCAATCGTTGTTAGTATCACATCTTAAACAATAATATATTTTCTCTGAAATATATCAAGTGCGCTAAAACCAGTTCTGTCAGTAGGTGACTGTTCATGACAGTAAAGGGAATGTAGGTGAAAGTGCACATAGGTCTGAATGAGATACAGGATGGCCACTGGGGGGAGTGGTTTGTAAATATGTACCACACAGCTGGGCTTAAAGTCCATCATTATGCACTGCCGTAGAGATACAATAACAATCCCATTCATATCATACTGTGATTTAATGATGTGCAATATTTTACAAATTCTACAGGCTACCAGTTCCGAAACTGGAGGATACAATCAAAAGGTATCTGGCTGCTCAGCGGCCTCTTCTTGATGACGACCAGTTCAGGTAAGCACCAGTCACCTTCCAGTTACTCACACTTAACACTTGAGGTGGTGCCTTGTAAATAATTTGTCACACACACATTCAACTCCTTAAAATATGTTTGCAGTACCACAGAGAAACTGGCCCGTGACTTTGAGAATGGAGTGGGGAAACAACTGCATAAAGAGCTGGTAGCACAAGACAAGCAGAACAAGCACACCAGCTACATATCGGGTATGGTTTTCCCATTTTAACAGAAACCTCACAATATTAACCTATGTAACTTTGAAATAACCATTGTTCATACATAGAACCCTGTATTTTCAAATCACATTTTATCTGTCACATGCGCCAAATACCAGTGGTGTAAACTACGTAAGTAAAAGTCTTTTTGGGGGGGTATCTGTACTTTACTTTGCTATTTATATTTTTGACAACTTTACTTTTACTTCACTACATTCCTAAAGAAAATATTGTACTTTTAATGCCATACATTTTCCCTGACAACCAAAAGTACTCGACAGGAAAATGGTCCAATTCACGCACTGATCAAGAGAACATCCCTGGTCTACCCTACTGCCTCTGATCTGGCAGACTCACTAAACACAAATGCTTCGTTTGTAAATGATGTCTGAGTGTTGGAGTGTGCCCCTGGCTATCTGTAAATGATGTCTGAGTGTTGGAGTGTGCCCCTGGCTATCTGTAAATGATGTCTGAGTGTTGGAGTGTGCCCCTGGCTATCTGTAAATGATGTCTGAGTGTTGGAGTGTGCCCCTGGCTATCCATAAATATAAATAAAAACCGCTGTCTGGTTTGCTTAATATAAGCAATTTCAAATGATTTATACTTTTACTTTTGATACTTAAGTATCAAAAGTAAATGGAATTGCAAAAATATACTTAAGTATATTTAAAACAAAACACTTTTAGACTTTTACTCAAGTAGTATTTTACTGGGTGACTTTTACTTGAGTCATTTTCTATTAAGGTACCTTTACTTTGTAGCCATTTGATTAGCTGTTCAGCAGTCTTATGGCTTGGGGGTAGAAGCTGTTAAGGAGCCTTTTGGACCTAGATTTGGCGCACCGGTACCACTTGCCGTGCGGTAGCAGAGAGAACAGTCTATGACTAGGGTGGCTGGAATCTTTGGCAATTTTTAGGGCCTTCCTAATTTAACTAGTCATCACATCCTCCTCCTAGCCCCATGGTTCGACATGTACCTGTCAGCGCGGGACTCTGTAGTGCTGAACTTCAACCCCTTCATGTCCTTCAACCCGGACCCCAAGACAGAGTACAACGACCAGCTAGTGCGAGCCACCAACATGGTGGCTTCCGCTGTGCGCTTCATGAAGACTCTCCGCGCTGGACTCCTGGAGCCCGAGGTGTTCCACCTGAACCCAGCTAAGAGCAACACGGACGGCTTCAAGAAACTCATCCGCTGGGTCCCCTCCTCCCTGTCCTGGTAATGAAATGTACAGATACAATTAAAACATTGTTCACATTGAATCATCAACAGCCAGATGCATTGCACCATCATGCTTTAGCTTGTACTAATTTGCAGCATCAGTTCCTAGATGGGCTTTACAATAAGTGAAAAGGGAAAGACAAGAAAATATAGTATATAACTAATCCAAACAAACATTACAAAATGGTTCACAAGTGGTTACATTCTTGATGTTCTTTAATTTATAGGTATGGAGCCTTCATGGTGAATGCCTACCCTTTGGACATGTCTCAGTACTTCCGCCTCTTCAATGCGACCCGCATCCCCAAGCAAGAGAAAGACGAGCTTTTCACCGACCCGAAAGGACGCCACCTACTAGTTATGAGGGGAGGCAACATGTACGTGTTTGACGTGGTGGACCGCGATGGGAACCTGGTGAAGCCAGCGGAGATCCAGGCCCACCTGAAGCACATAATGTCGGACCCGACCCCGGCCGCGGCCCACCCCCTGGGCCTGCTGACCAGCGAGAACAGGGACACATGGGCCGGGCTGAGGGAGAAGCTCCTGGCTGCTGGGAACGGAGAGGTGAATATTTTGTTATCCATCAAACGTTTTTGTCTTGTCTTTTACCATTAAGGACCACTTTGGAAATATATATTTTTCAAGTGATATCAAATGCTTGTTGTTAATGTAATATTTTTTTATCCAAAATACAATGATATTCAGGTGCTGGGTCTGGTGGACAGTGCCCTCTTCTGTCTGTGTCTGGACGACGAGAGCATGAAGGACCACATCCACGTCTCCCACAACATGCTGCATGGGGACGGCACCAACCGCTGGTATGACAAGTCCTTCAGCATCATCATGGCCAAATGCGGAAACGCCGCCATCAACTTCGAGCACTCGTGGGGCGACGGCGTGGCTGTTCTCCGCTTCCAGAACGAGGTGTTCAAGGACTCTACGGAGAACCCACTGGTGAACCCTGGCTCCCAGCCTGCAGCCGTTGACTCAGCCGCCGCCGTGAGGAGACTCCAGTTCAACCTAGACGCAGAGCTAGAGAACGGGGTCACCAAGGCCAAAGAGAACTTCCACGCAGCCGTATCCAAGCTCACCATAGACGCCATGCAGTTCATGAAGGTAGATGGATCGTTTGCACTGAACCTGACCATTGTTGCAACCATTTTTCACTTTGATGTTTGTTGCTGTCCCCCCCTGTCCTTTGTATGTTTGGTATTTTGGTATTTGGTATTTTATTAGGATCCCCATTAGCTGTTGCAAAAGCAGCAGCTACTATTCCTGGGGTCCACACAAAACATGAAACATGACATAATACAGAACATTAATAGACAAGAACAGCTCAAGGACCTAACTACATAAAAAATAAATGTAAAGGCACACATAGCCTACATATCAATACATACACACAAACTATCTAGGTCAAATAGGGGAGAGGCGTTGTGCCGTGAGGTGTTGCTTTATCCGTTTTTTGAAACCAGGTTTGCTGTTTATTTGAGCAATATGAGATGGAACGGAGTTCCACGCAATAATGGCTCTATATAATACTGTACGCTTTCTTGAATTTGTTCTGGATTTGGGGACTGTGAAAAGACCCCTGGTGGCATGTCTGGTGGGGCAAGTGTGTGTGTGTCAGAGCTGTGTGTTAGTTGACTATGCAAACTATTTGGGATTTTCAACACATTAATGGTTCTTATAAAAAGAAGAAGTGATGCAGTCAGTCTCTCCTCAACTCTTAGCCAAGAGAGACTGGCATGCATAGTATTTATATCAGCCCTCTGATTACAATGAAGAGCAAGATGTGCCGCTCTGTTTTGGGCCATATGTAGCTTAACTAGGTCTTTCCATGCAGCACTGGACCACACGACTGGACAATAATCAAGATTAGACAAAACTAGAGCCTGCAGAACTTGCTTTTTGGAGCATCTCTTTATTACGGACAGACCTCTCCCCATCTTTACAACCATTAATCTATATGTTTTGACCATGATAGTTTACAATCTAAGGTAACACCAAGTAATTTTGTCTCCTGAACTTGTTCAACAGCCACACCATTCATTACCAGATTCAGCTGAGGTCTAGAACTTTGGGAATGATTTGTACCAAATACAATGCTCTTAGTTTTAGAGATGTTCAGGACCAGTTTATTAGTGGCCACCCATTCCAAAACAGACTGCAACTCTTTGTTAAGGGTTTCGGTGACTTCATTAGCTGTGGTTGCTGATGCTTATATGGTTGAATCATCAGCATACATGGACACACATGCTTTCTTTAATGCTAGTGGCAGGTCATTGGTAAAAATAGAATAGAGTAGAGGGCCTAGAGAGCTGCCCTGTGGTACACCACACTTTGACATTAGAGAAGCTTCCATTAAAGAAAACTCTGAGTTCTATTAGATAGATAGCTCTGAATCCACGATAAGTTTTTTCAACAACAGGTTATAGTCAATAATATCAAAGGCTGCACTGAAATCTAACAGTACAACTCCCACAATCTTCTTATCAATTTCTTTCAACCAATCATCAGTCATTTGTGTCAGTGCAGTACATGTTGAGTGCCCTTCCCTATAAGCATGTTGAAAGTCTGTTGTTAATTTGTTTACAGAGAAATAGCATTGTATTTGGTCAAACACTATTTTTTCCCAACAATTTGCTAAGAGCTGGCAGCAAGTTTATAGGTCTACTGTTAGAACCAGTAAAGGCCGCTTTACCATTCTTGGGTAGCGGAATTACTTTGGCTTCCCTCCAGGCCTGAGGACAAAGACTTTCCTCTAGGCTCAGATTAAAGGTATGACAGATAGGAGTGGCTATAGAGTCAGATACCATCCTCAGTAGCTTTCCATCTAAGTTGTCAATTCCAGGAGGTTTGTCATTATTGATCGATAACAATAATCTTTACACCTCTCCCACACTACCTTTACAAAATTCAAACTTCCAATGCTTTTCTTTCATTATTTGTTTGGGATGTATTGCTGCTGCTGACAAATCAATTTTCCCTTGGGGATTAATAGTTATCATCCATCTACCTAAAGGGTGGGAAGGAGCAGTTGAAGAAGAAGAAGCTGAGTCCGGATGCCATTGCTCAGCTTGCGTTCCAGATGGGATTCCTGAGGCAGTATGGGCAGACGGTGGCCACATACGAGTCCTGCAGCACCGCAGCATTCAGACACGGTCGTACAGAGACCATCCGGCCTGCTACCATACACACACAGCGCTGTGCTCAGGCCTTCGTGCAACAGCCAGGAAAACACAGCGTTGAGCAACTGATTGGCATGCTCAGCGAATGCTCCAAATATCACGGGCAGCTCACCAAAGAGGCGGCTATGGGTCAGTCCATTTTATTTCTAGATGATCCGATATTTGATCACTGAGTTGAATAGAATGTAGTTGAGTGAAATGTTTTTGTTGTGGTCTCAAATTTGGTCAGCCATTATCCATATTACATTCTTGTCTTTTTCTGCATGTTTCCCCCACCAGCCCAAGGCTTTGACCGGCATCTGTTTGCCATGAAGTACATGGCCAACTCAAAGGGCCAGGCCCTACACAGCCTGTACCAGGACCCAGCCTACGCTGCCATCAACCACAACATCCTCTCCACCAGCACCCTGACCAGCCCTGCCGTTAACCTGGGAGGCTTTGCCCCTGTGGTGCCCGATGGCTTCGGGGTGGGCTACGGCATCCATGATGAGTGGATCGGCTGTAATGTGTCTAGTTACCCAGAGCGTAATGTTCATGAGTTCCTGCAGTGTGTTCATAAGTCTCTAGACGACATTTTCTCTGTTCTGGAAGGAAGGCCTCTCACCTAAAGAGAAGTCCATCTTACTTTTACCGCAAATCCTAACTTCCATTTCAGTTGAATTTTCGCCCAGTCAGGCATTGACATCAAGTGAAAATTCAAAATTAGTGGAAGTTGGGATGATTTCGACTGCAGTTGTATAGTACAGTGAGATGAATGTCGGATTTAAAAGACACTTTTCCTGAGGCATAGTGTGGGTTGTAAGTACTGGTATAGGTTAATAAAGAGTGGATATCAAACAAGCTCTGCATGGTTCAGCAGCAGGTATATTCCTATACTGTCAAGTAGCTATGACTGTACACATAGATTCATAATAAATGCCCAAGGAAATACCAAATACACTAGTCTGGTCATGAAGGAAATACCAAATACACTAGTCTGAAGGAAATACCAAATACACTAGTCTGGTGATGAAGGAAAAACAATGAAAGCTTCAGGTGTGTTTGTTCGAGCCAATGTTTCTTCCCTTTCTAACTAGCATTGCAATGGATCTATTGAGACCCTAGTAAATTAAGTCTCACATTTTATAGTATTAACCTTTTCTGATTGAGGCCAGTGCTTTTGAATGAATGTCCTCATATAAAGGCCAGTTTGGGAAATTAAATTGAGTAATATATTGATTGATATATTCCGAGTAGCACGTCATTTGTTTTGCTGTGCAGCCTTGTCAAAGGATTGTATGACAATTTAGATATCCACTTTGCTTTGTGAAATGTTTTCAAGCAATACCTCAGATCTTTGCTATTAAAGGTCCAATGCAGCCGTTCTCAATATCAAATCCTTTCTAGGTAACAATTAAGTACCTTACTGTGATCGTTTAATAAAGAAATGGTCAAAAAGACCAAATAGCTTCTTAGCAAAGAGCAATTTCTCAAGCAAGAATTTTGCTAGGACTGTCTTCGAGGGGTCTGAGAGGGGAGGGGGAAACTGAACGTTTGCTGTTATTGGCAGAGGTTTGAAACTCTTATTGGTCTATTAACCAATTTATCGCATTGGGGATGTCACCATGGAAGGCCAAAACTCCATCCCACCAACATGCTGAAATATCCAACAGTCTTTTCAAACAGCGCTTACACTAAAAGTGCATTGTTATTTTCACAGTATTATTCCAACCCCAGTGTGGAAATATATATATATATATATATATATATATATATATATATATATATATAATGCAGGAAAATCCCATTTGACTGCACTGGGCCTTTAAGGGGCAGATTGTTTTCCTTCTGTGCCTTATGGAATGTTCTATGGTTATTTATCACACAGCTTTACTGAAGTAGTGTAAAGGAAAATCTAATAAAACGTGAACTGGAATTACTAATCTATATTTTCTCATTGTACATTTTGCTTGACTGTAATTAACTTTCTGTTAATCTGTGTACTCTGAGTTGGGTGCTGGAATAAAAGACTGATCTCTGTATGGCGGTACTAGTATTTCTTTGTCTCAAAACAGAGGACTGAGCAGCAGGTAGTGTAGTGTGCAATTCTCCAACCTTTTTCATACTATCAAAGGGGACTAAACCACAGCTATGGCTTGCAGTATTTAACACTTACAGTGAGGGGGAAAAGTATTTGATCCCCTGCTGATTTTGTACGTTTGCCCACTGACAAAGACATGATCAGTCTATAATTTTAATGGTAGGTTTATTTGAACAGTGAGACAGAATAACAACAACAAAATCAGAAAAACACATGTCAAAGATGTTATAAATTGATTTGCATTTTAATGAGGGAAATAAGTATTTGACCCCCTCTCAAATCAGAAAGATTTCTGGCTCCCAGGTGTCTTTTATACAGGTAACGAGCTGAGATTAGGAGCACACTCTTAAAGGGAGTGCTCCTAATCTCAGCTTGTTACCTGTATAAAAGACACCTGTCCACAGAAGCAATCAATCAATCAGATTACAAACTCTCCACCATGGCCAAGACCAAAGAGCTCTCCAAGGCTGTCAGGGACAAGATTGTAGACCTACACAAGTCTGGAATGGGCTACAAGACCATCGGCAAGCAGCTTGGTGATAAGGTGACAACAGTTGGTGCGATGATTCACAAATGGAAGAAACACAAAATAAACTGTCAATCTCCCTCGGCCTGGGGCTCCATGCATGATCTCACCTCGTGGAGTTGCAATGATCATGAGAACGGTGAGGAATCAGCCCAGAACTACACGGGAGGATCTTGTCAATGTTCTCAAGGCAGCTGGGACCATATTCACCAAGAAAACAATTGGTAACACACTACGCCGTGAAGGACTGAAATCATGCAGTGCCCACAAGGTCCCCCTGCTCAAGAAAGCACATATACAGGCCCGTCTGAAGTTTGCCAATGAACATCTGAACGATTCAGAGGAGAACTGGGTGAAAGTGGTGGTCAGATGAGCCCAAAATCCAAGCTCTTTGGCATCAACTCAACGTGTTTGGAGGAGGAATGCTGCCTATGACCCCAAGAACACCATCCCCACCGTCAAACATGGAGGTGGAAACATTATGCTTCGGGGGTGTTTTTCTGCTAAGGGGACAGGACAACTTCACCGCATCAAAGGGACGATGGATGGGGCCATGTACCGTCAAATCTTGGGTGAGAACCTCCTTCCCTCAGCCAGGGCATTGAAAATGGGTTGTGGATGGGTATTCCAGCATGACAATGACCCAAAACACACGGCCAAGGCAACAAAGGAGTGGCTCAAGAAGAAGCACATTAAGGTCCTGGAGTGGCCTAGCCAGTCTCCAGACCTTAATCCCATAGAAAATCTGTGGAGGGAGCTGAAAGTTTGAGTTGCCAAACGTCAGCCTCGAAACCTTAATGACTTGGAGAAGATCTGCAAAGAGGAGTGGGACAAAATCGCTCCTGAGATGTGTGCAAACCTGGTGGCCAACTACAAGAAACGTCTGACCTCTGTGATTGCAAACAAGGGTTTTGCCACCAAGTACTAAGTCATGTTTTGCAGAGGGGTCATATACTTATTTCCCTCATTAAAATGCAAATCAATTTATAAAATTTTTGACATGCGTTTTTCAGGATTTTTGTTGTTGTTATTCTGTCTCTCACTGTTCAAATAAACCTACCATTAAAATTATAGACTGATCATGTCTTTGTCAGTGGGCAAACATACAAAATCAGCAGGGGATCAAATACTTTTTTCCCCTCTGTAAATGTATAGAAAAGCAAGGCTATTAAAACATTTGGCATTTTCCCAATCATTTATTTAAAATTTAAAAAAGACTGATCGATCAAAAGCAAATGTACAAATGTAATCATACATGAATCAAACAATGAAATTAAAACATTTCCCAAAAGAAAAAAACATCCCCTCTTAGATGGGCTTGATCTTGAAGTGTAGTCCGATGAGACTGAAGACGAGACATTTCAAATCCTGAACCAGGTAGTAGAACACGCGGAGGCCTTCTGGGTCCCTGGAAAACACAATGGCATTTATTTTAGAAGCTGGCACCCAATTCCACATCAACCCCACTATGCACTTGTGGAGATCTGATAGCATTACATAGCTGTAGGCTAGGTATAATTTACACCATTCTGCTTACACCCATCAAATCCTCAGTTCTCTACCAGTGAATATAAAGTAGAGACTAGAGGCCAATTGGGAACTTTAAGGAGGGATATATCCTTCCAAGTGTACCCAGATCATTTGAGAGAGTATTATTGTACTTACTTCGACTGGTTGACATCAATCAAGGAGCCGATCTTGGAAGTTGTGAAGGAAATGTGCTCATCGCCAATGACAATCTCCAGCTCCTAAAAGAGTTGAGAAGTTAAGACACTCCTCAGACACTATTTGTAATTGAAGCCATATAAAAGAAAACAAAAAACATTGTTTACTAAATCATCGTAACTTTATGGGGTTGTGCCAGGACTCCAGTCTTGTGCAGAAAGGGTCAGACTTGAACACTGGTTCAAATTCTTTCATTGGACAGATTTGTCTGATGTGGACAGTAGAGATCAACCCCAAGAGGACTACCATGACTTGACTTTCATGGCTAGCCCTTCCCAAAAGCACAATAAGTAGGAGACTCATTGCCTCAGTCAACCTCCTCCACGCTTGTGTAAGTTTCAGTATTTAGAAGTGGTGGGCACCAATATTGATAATTGGATAGGATATCATTTGATATCGATATGAGCAAGACATATCTTGATATCGGTTTATTCTTTCTGTTACCCTTAGTCCTGCTCGATGAACCAAATGTCAGTTTATTTTAATTTTTTAATAACTAATTGACCGACGTCGGTTCAATTATTTGAATTCCAATTTGTTCAGGTTTTTTCGGTAAGCTCAACACAGCAGCTCTTTAGAGATCTCTCACTGGGACATATTGTCCAACTCATAGAAAAAGCACAGAAAACATGGTAATTAACTACAATGACCAGAATCCATTGCGCCTACAGCTGCCTGTTCTCATTGGTTCCTTCCGGCAGACAAACACAGAGAGGAAGAGCTATAGACACGAGGGGGAAAGAGAGCAGTTGCTTAGGTCTCTCTACCCGACAATACATCTAATTGATTGCTAGTTGTTATTTAGCATTGTTAAAAGTATGCCTTATCTACTTTGAAGAACTACTGAAATAGTGATTGTCAGACAGCAGGCAGCTAGGCTAGCCTGAAGGATGACTCTTTGGGGAGAACAGAGATAGATGTCTGGCTGCTACTGCCTGAGCAAAGATGAGATGATGACTTGGAATTAAATAAGTAATCAAATAAAACAAAAAGTAATACACAACTGAAATATTTTATTAAAGTAAAGTGAATAAAGGATGGTTTATTAATAAGTGATAAGCAGTAACTAGTGTTGTCACAAAATCCAAAGTTTGACTTCGATACCGTCACGATACCACAACAAAGAAAAGGCGTGTTGCCAAAGTCACAGAATGGCACTTGATCCTGACAGATAAACTCAGCTACCGCTCGGTTCAATCGTTGAGCATCTTTTGAGTTCAATATCATTACATTAGAAAATATTTGTGAAATGTTTTGATACAGTCATGTATGCCTGAATTAATCAATTATGCAATCAATTTGACTTTGTTTTTACCAATCTAACTACAAAATCAACATAATGGTAATAATTTATTTGAATGTGCCACTAGAGATCCTGGTTCGAATCCAGGCTCTGTCGTAGCCGGTCGTGACCGGGAGACCCATGGGGCGGCGCACAATTGGCCCAGCGTCGTGTAGGGGAGGGAATGGCCGGCAGGGATGTAACTCAGTTGGTAGAGCATGGCGTTTGCAACACCAGGGTTGTGGGTTCAATTCCCACAGGGGGGATATGAAAAAATAAATAATGTATCCACTAACTGCAAGTCGCTCTGGATAAGAGCGTCTGCTAAATGACTAAAATGTAAAAATGTCTATTCACAATAGCATATTATTCAATAAGACTGTGTGCATGCATAGCATTATTGAGCTTGTTTTAGCACATTTCATGGGGCTACAGATGACAAACAATCCCTTCCATTTAAGACTTATTTTTATTGGCAACTGCTAGGAGAACATATTTTATAGTACTGATCAACATTTGCATAGAAGAAGCTATGAAATCTAGTGGGAACCAGACAGGTGGCTAGGGAGATGAAGAAGTGAATGAGTTTTTGGTGGAGAGGGAGACAAAGTCAATTACGTTTTTAGTCAGACCAGTTTTGAAATCAGCATATTTTGAGTTATCGTTTGCATATTAATCACAAACAATGTACTAGCGTAGTGAATTCAGCTGTATGCTAGCAAGGAAAGTTAGCCTTCAATTAAAGCTGGAAGCTACCGGTATCGTCTTGCATTGTAAAAGTGTTCTACCCTGTATGTACATTGTTTTGCCAACAGTAATGAACAGTTTTAACATTTCTACATGCTGTGTTGCATTATTCAAGTGGGTGAACTTCTGTGCAGCATGAGTGGGGAGCTAACAATAAACCCCAGACAGTTCTGGCAATGAATGAGTAAGTGACACTTTGCTGTTCCCGCTATTAAGGGGCTGCACTGATAGACTTTATCCTCTCAATCACGTGACACACATTTGACAGAAGTACCTAACATAACAAAAAATTGTAGTAACAAACCGTTTAAAAAAAATCAAGTACAGAAGTTTTGGTAATCAGTGTACCGTGCAACAATAGCAGTCACTACCATCATTGGAGTTTCATTAAATAATAAAGTCATCATCATACTAAAAACATGTAATTTACACAACCAAAATATTGTATTTATGTAATGTGATAAATGACAGTAATGGACTGTCTACCAGCAACTGTTTTATTCTGTGTTGTTACCGCATTGAACCCACATCATGCATTTGTTTAAAAATATATAAACTTAGATTGAAAACCGTGATAACTGTTTTTTTATTTTTTACAAACCAGACCTCAAAAAGCACTAATCACTCAGCACTAGTTAACCTACAATATTCTATGGAGGGGGGGGAAGCATACATGGCTGTTCCTGCATGCACAAAACTTGACTTAGCCTATTTAAATGCCTGCTGATGGACCATCAACTGTGGGTGGGCTTCCCATTGTATTCAAACTGGTTAGGTAGCTTTATGCTACCAGAACATTCACACCTGGCCCAATGGGCAATCTGCAAGCAGTTGTCTAGACTTCACAGAAAAGTGAACATTTACATTTTAGTCATTTAGCAGACACTCTTATCCAGAGCGACTTTACAGTTAGTGAGTGCATACATTTTTTTTCTTCATACTGGCCCCCCCGTGGGAATCGAACCCACAACCCTGGCATTGCAAGCGCCATGTTCTACCAACTGAGCTACACAGGGCCACAGCTGCAACTCTGACACGGGCAGTACAGAAGCATCATGACTAAAAAAGACCATCAGGCTGCTCACCACTAGTCAGCTATCTGAAATCGAATCCAATGTATTTTCTACAAACCAATATGATATCGATATCAAATAGATTTTCCATAAGGGTGTCCATCACTAGTATTTAGGTAGGTGTGAGAGGATGGACCGACCTGTCTGCCAACTCTGTCTGGGGGCGGCCACAATGCATCATCTTCCTTGGTGATCTCACTGTCATCTATGATCCTCTTCAGTTCCTCCATCACACTCTTGTGTACGTAGGCCTGTATTGGAGAACAATCACAATAAGGTTTCTATGACATATTCAATTGTTGCAGCAGCATCTCATACAGATTTCCTTTGTAAATGTGATAAATTACCTCTTTTCTGATCATGACGTCATTCTTGTAGTTGCTGTTGTTCGCGTACCTCAGTTTACCTGAAAATACAATCAATACATTCATTGTGTTATCTTCGCTTAAGTTATGAATGTTATTACATTGTTGACACACTGCTATTGTTACACAGTAGTCTTTTTTTGTAGCTAGTTCACATATAACCGTTTTTAAACCTGCTGTAAAACAATCTAGGTTATTTGGCAAAATGTGTTGGCTAAATAACACGCTAGCCAAATTAGCTAGTTTTATAGTTAACTAGCACCTAACTAGTAACTTAGTACTGTAATTAGCTAGCCAAAATAGATTAATGAGGGTATGGTACAGAAATAAACACTGACTAAGATGTAACGATGCAAGCAAAGTATTTCTGATGCCATGATATTATAACAGAAAACAAGACTAGCTACAAAAGCAATGAGGAAATGCTGCTAACAAGCCGTCGTTTGCGTACTTTGCTAGCTAATGCTAATTAGCAGGCTAGATAGTACAATTTCCGCCTAACTTACCGTCCGGTCTAAACTCAAATTCCAAGAACTCGTGTCCAAACTTGCCCTTGTGCCCGACATAATATCTCAAATAAAAGTCAGTCGTTGACATTATAAACCGCAAATGCAGTGTTTGCGGAGTCTGTGAGAATCGGAATCAACGAAAGCACACCTCTTCCCAAATCGTCTTTTGCAAAACTCAACACGCATGCGTGCTGTGGCGCTTTTCTGTTATATCATATGAATGGTCGCATTGCAATGATGTCAGAACAAGCTGCCTGTGCTTTAGTGTGTATTTTAACCAGCAGATGTCAATAAAACACCAAATTATTTAATGATCGGGTCCCAAATATTGTGCCTCACTGATATGTTCTATTATTTTATTTGATGGACCACCATATTACTGGCAATCAATTTCTATGATTTTCTCCATCTGTGAATCTTGTAAAGGAAACATTCACACAGCATACATAGTACAAAAACTTTATTTCCTTGTTTGATTGCAGATTGTTTGATTTGTTAATACATTTACATTATAATACAGTTATGAAGGCTATTGTATTCATGTAGTCATATCTTGGTGTGTGTCAAACAGAAAATTAATCCCTACATGAAATAAAAAATATTACTATTTTATAATTCCAACTTTAAGGTAAACCAGTTAGCTCACAATTTGATGGGTAACTTGGCTTTTTGTTTTACTTGTCTGGTAACAGTATTGGTTAATCATACTATTTCTTACTCTCTTATTACAGTTATCTTGTGTGCTAGAGTCATGCACAACAATGCCTGAGCTATGTGTCAAAGGCCTCATTCTTCACACATACTGTACAGTACATTACTATTTTCAAATGTACAGTGTTCACACTGAGGCCATTGACAGTACTTACTCATGGTCCAGTGTTACACCCTGATCATGGAACAAATGTAGTGCAGTAGCTAGCTAGCTCTTGCACGCAAGTAACTCATATCATGTCATTGAGTTGAATGACCAGACAAAATGTGTTTTATGTACAGCAGATTTCATCACCAACATCGAAGCTACATTTATACAATTATACACAAAGCAACATTTTAATGATTGAAATAAATACAGATGATCCACATCCACAGCCTTTGGACCATAATACATTTTGAGCAAAGGAATTCATTTGTTACTGAATGTTTGCAAGATGGCTGCCTATGATAGGCATTGCTTGACTGACCTTTTGAAGGCCTTTGAAATGAAAGGTCATGTACATTGAATTCAAGTTAGGGCATTTCCTCTACATTTTAGATAGGCATCGTATTGCTAGTGTTCATGATTATATTCATATTCAAAATCTCTCTAGTTCCTGAGCTGACATTTGAATCAACAAGTTCACTTTCTCTAGTTCTACATCTCACAATGTAGATAGCCTAATCATGGAGTCAACATTCATGCCTCTATGTAAGGTGCTTGCTCATACAGTACTTTAGAAACCATTTCTCATTTCAATAATCGATCAATCCGAAGCCAAGAAACAAAGGGTATGATGATGCACGGATGGACTGCGGACAACACTCGTGGCTGGCTGTCTCAACATTGTGACATGCCCATCATTGGCCCTGGAAATGTAAACAAAACTACAGTGTACACTTTGCATACAGGTACCATAAATATTAAGAGGTAGGAAACACAGCACAGCAGTCAGGAGGTTTTTAGTACCTATACATTTCTGAAAGCAAAACAATCCATTGTGATTGTAGGCGACCTTTTGCAATGCAGCACAACCTTTAGTAGAACACTAATAGCATGTCATTCAGTGAGTGAGTGTTAATAACACCCCAATCTCACCCTTCTAATCACAGTCTGGGAATATTGCAGTATATTTTTGATTTATGTGAATAAACCAACATATGATGGGGCAATTGACTGAGAATTCAACTATATTAATGACCGGAGAGCTTAATCCCAAAGGAAAATATTTTGGGTACACGTTAAATTCATGGAAAATTGTAGGAAATAAGAATAGAGAAAAAACAGGAGTTTTACATTGATGAACTACAGTTTAATAGCAGCAGTAAAGAGCAATGAAAGATACTAATGCTTGAAGAGTGAATTGTTACTAACATAGAAAATAAGATGGAGATCATGTCCTATTTAAGTGCAAATTTACCTCAAATGAACTTGCAGTTCAAAACAACCTACAGTATATATAGCCTAGGCCTAAACATTGCTATCAAATGTTACGGATGTTCAAAAAGAGGCAGTTGCAGTGATCTCATCCTTCAAGAGCATTAGCTTTTATTAATGAAAAAAAGTTATGAGTTGGAACCACAAAGAATTCAATAGACATGGGGCCTTTACAAACTCCCCTGTCTAGGGCTTTAAAAGAGGGGCCATGGGCACAAGTACAGAACACTATTTTTTTGGTGGGGTTGTCAGTCCCCATACACAAAACTGGTCGAGGTAAAGATTGATTGACGAAAAAGACAGTCTCAGTTTTGATGTTCTCAAATTCAGGTTGTTTGTTCAAGATGCATGGTAACAAGTAAATACTGTGAAACTCAAATTACTGAAAAACAGCAACATCAATAGCGCAAATAATACTAAATACATTATGTACAAACTCTAAGAACACCGTTTTGATTTGTAAAGTCAAGTAGTTCAGTATTTTTTCAGAGTGAGACAACATGAAGTTGCATTGACCCACTGGATTGGTCAGCAAAGGCAGATAATCTGTGTAGGGCCTGAGAAATTGTTCCCTTTCACTAACTCAATATGAGCATGCTTGTAGCAAATAGCAGTTACTAACACTTCAGCTCATACTGAGTCTCTCTATGGTGCGTCAGAATGTGTATCGAGGGACTACAGTACCTTGACAAGTGATAAGATGTCTGCCTATACATAGAGCAGCCTCAGTACTAGGTGTGGCAGGCATCAGTCCTGAATTTAGTTTTGCATCTTGGTTCTTGGATAGTTTCCAATATAATGGTGTGTGTGTGTGTCAGAGTTCCCTCAGTAACAAATCAAATCTGTCACACATCCTCCCTTCCATTCCAATAAAACAACAGTAAAGACAGACATGACCAATCAAAAATGCACTGACCACTGAACGCACACCAAGGGCTCAAGCTCAACCCAGATGAACCATCTTCCTCCTTATTTATTCACATCTGTAAGCTCAAAAAATGTATCCAGAAAATCAAATAAGAGATAAATAAATAAAATAACTGCTGCACCTTTGACCTGAAACAGTTACAAAACAAACAGCTAATCCTCTTCCTCCCTTCCAAACAATGTCATCCTCCAGTACAAAAAAAACAATTTCAAATGAAGGCCTTGCAGCTTCTTGCTAGAGAAATAAATAGTTCTGGTTTTTAAATACAGTGTAGCGGACAGGCAGTAGGTAGGTATGTACAGGTGAGGCCTCAGCTCCTCTACCATCGATCCCTCGCTCCCTGGCGCTGAGAGAGGGACTGTGCAGTCAGTGGGGCCGACTGCTGGACTCAGACACCTGCCGTTTACGGGGAGTTCCGTAACCGTTAAGGCTGCTGTTCAGGCGTTTGGTCAGACCACCGTTCAGAATGTCCTGGATGTGCTGAACTATAAGGTTTATGGCAACTGTAAGGAGAGGGAAGAAAGCATTCAGAGGGCATTGAAAGATAATATCACAAGGTGTTCCATTCCTCTCTTATTCAGATAAAATGAAAGAAGAACACGTTCCAGGATTTAAAAGCATAACAATTTGACTAATAGGGCCTGCAAACAAGTGAGAAATCTACAATTGTCCTTTCAATTCCAAAACAGAGACAGTCAAACATTCCCAGGACAAAACAGTCAATCTAGTCTGATTCCCATGTCTAGGTCTCACCAATCACACCATCTATCCATCTCAAAACAGTAAAATAAACAAAAGAGCCATCACTTACAGTCACATCAGCCTTTAGTAAGTTTACTATCGCAGGGTAAGAGACTGCATTGATTAACAACGTAAATGACGGACTATGGGGAGCCATGTTCCAAGAATGAGTCAGTAGTATTTGTCACATACCAGCATACTTGCTTGCTTGCATACATAAGGCAGCCATCTTGAGAAACAAACAGTCAGAAACTCACCAAGATTATCTGCTCCTCTGGGAATGATCACATCAGCACACTTCTTGGTCTACAGGGGGTGAAGAAATAAACATGATTAGCAATACGATCTGAACCAGGGCCAGGGGGTTCAATACCTTTCAAGAGGAGGTCAGCAACAACTAACGATGACACAAATAGATTGATCCAAGGTTGTTAAAATATGCGTTGTGGCAGTATCATAGCTAGGTACTCACTGGCAGACAGAACTCCTCAAAGGCAGGCTTGACAAAGGTGATGTATTGCGTTAGCACCTGCTCCAGATCCCTACCTCGCTCGCCGATGTCTCTGAGCACTGGGGAGGGAACACAGAACAGGAGTGGAGCTGTCAGTAGGATTTTTCCGGGATTCTTATGAAGCTAGTAGACGTCTACATCTTTTGTCTGTAATTTATTTTTCGTTATATATGTAGGACCCCAGTAAGACTAGCTGTCGCCATTGGCGTCGGCTAATGGAGATCGTAATAAATCAAAATCATTAATGTCCTCCAAGCCCTATATTGGAAGCCCACTGCTGTCTTTTTACAATTCACAAGTGTCATGTTTGATGTGTTTCACCCAATGAAATGGTAAATGTATATGTCTATTGTTTCACCTCTGCGTGAGAGCCGTGTGTCTGCGTCTGTGTCCACAAACAGCTTCATCTGGAACAGGTCCCTGATCTCCTGGGAGTAGAACATCAGGATGCCCTCGAACAGCACCACGTCTGCTGGGTACACCATCACCACCTCCTCCTTCCTGATACACACACCCACCAGGGAGAGGACAATGTGTATGAGGTGTGTGTGTGTGTGGTGTGTGGTGTGTGTGTGTCCTGACTACTAACCTGGAATGGGTGACAAAGTCATACACCGGGATTTGCACCGTTTTGCTCTCTAAGATGTCCCACAACGTTTTGACGATGAGCTCGTTGTCAAATGCATCTGAGAAGAGGAAGAGATAGGACAAAAGAACTCAGAACCATGGTGTGTCTGTCTCCATGTCTGCCAGGCCATAGGATCAAGATCTAATCCCCACAAGGAGATTACATGTGGGATAGAATATATGCTGATATGGCTGGCAGATGCATGCTGACCAGCCAACCCTTACAATAGATTCCAGAATCAGAGCCAGCCCAGACTGACTAAGATATATCACAGCCAGCCAAACACAAAGCCAGACTGCAATGACTAAGACATAGGTTGCGTCGGAAATAGCACCCTATTCCCTATTTAGTGCACTACTTTTGACCAGGGCCTGGGCCCAACCACACTGTCTGAGACAGACTGCTCTGCTCCACATTCTGTCAGAGTGAGAAACTCTTCTGCTGAGTATCTACTCTGAGACAGACTTTCAACACAGCAGTCTATCATTGGCCATAAGGGGACCCAAGGCAGGACATTTAGAAACCTTTGGTTCTCCCCTGGAATTATGGTCATTCTACTTCTAAGAACTAGAGGGGAAAGCCAAACATTAGTATTCCACATTATGAAACTCATTTGAGTAGAAACAAAATCATGCAATCATTTGTCTTCAATGAGAAGAGCAAGGGGAAGTGAGAGTAGAGTAGTATTTTACACTGGAAACCAAGAGATAAAGCTACATTTGCTAGTTGGTAAAATATTCCATATATTGAAAAAAATAGTAACTATTTAACAACTGACACACTGTAATGTATCCTGATGTATAGATAAATAAATAAATAGATGAGCTAAATACCTGGGTGGTCGAAGTTGAACTGTCCCTTCAGTGCCTTGGCCTTCTGGTCCGGGGTGAGGACCCTGTAAAAGCTGTCTTGGCTGAGAATGGCCACCTGGCGCTGGTGATGGTCAATCTTGTTCTGGCCAAGCAGCTCCATGATCTTACCGCAGACAGACGACTGGCCGGGGGAGGAGGAGGATGGGGGGAAAGAAAGAGAGGATATCAAGTTATCAACAGTGTCTGGTTGTGATCTGAATTAAGTTGTGACCCACAGCGACTGGGGTTTTGATGTGTTCATTGAGATTTGGAGATAAAAGCATGTTAAAAATATGAATGGGTCATAAAAAATATATTGATATACCAGACTATGACAGAGATGGACGCAGTATATTAGAATATACATTTGCAGCTATGCACAATAGCTCAAAGTGTGGTCACCTTGTCTGGTTTCCAGCTGACTACATTATGCACGGTTAACCTTTCTGTTCAAGTAGTGCAGGGGGGAAATGAGAGTCATTTTTCACACTGGAAAATACAGTATACCAACATACAAATAGTGAAGTGGTCCGTGTGCCTTCCCCACTGATCAGGTAGTACAGCCTAAAAGACATGTCTCTATGGTTCGCTAGCCAATTCAAGGAAGAGGAGTGAAAAATAGGATGAACTACTTGGATTTAATCACTTTCTAAAAAAAATTATACACATGAAGTCTGTAACATTAATTTTAACACATGTCCAAACCAGACATTAACATGTGTTTGCTTTGTAGTCATTTGTTGTAGATAGATGTAGAAAATGTGTGCAGATAATGCAGATAACAAATTATTTAACCCTTTCACATCCTCTATGAAATGCTGTTCTGGGGCATGAATTGTGGTCCACCTGACATTCCTTAGCGTGTAATATTTCTTGGTATCATACCCCCAACAAACGGAAGAGACAAAACTACCACTAGAGCCACCTGTTTATCAGACAGTGTTTTTTCTTCTTCTGACAAACTTTACAGTTTAGGCATTGTGTATGTGGCTGTGTGCGCGCCTGTGTGTGTGTGTGTGTGAGGCCATGTGCCCGCCTCTGTGTGTGTGTGTGTGTCCATGAAGTCTGTAGGGCCCAGGCTGCGGATGATTAGTTAAATGGATTGAGAGTGTGACCCCGGACTGGTGATTAGCATTTCAGCTGGCAGCTAGGGAGTACAGCTCAGAGATGAGAGGAGTGTGGATTAAACATACAAAGAAGGCTAAGTATAGTCCCATCAAAGACGGAATTGTTGCATGGCCATCTTGTGATGCCCCTTCTTCTTTGACATCTTTGAACTATTCCCTCTGAATGTCTAATAATTTATAAACTTGTATTGACTCTACAGACACATTTATTCTGCTTAATCCTCTTGTAATATCTTTGCCCTGTCTGAGCTCTTTCCAAGGTGACACTTTTGTATTCGTCACTGATGGCTAGCATGCATTTTCCCCTTTGCTGCAATACATTTTCCCTTATGCAAGTTCACCTAGACCTATTGTCTGTTGCCAGTTATCTCTGTTTTTCTGATCTCTGGTAGGCCTGAAGTAAGCAGTTAGATTATCATTGCAGTCGCCTGGTGGCATGAGTAGGTGCAGCGGTCTAAGAATAGGGCGTTGCTACTGAATGACTGACATCCTGTCTTCTCTGGTGTGTCTCAGACTCAGTCAGGGTCAGGGCCGCCTTAAAGGGAAATGTAACAATTTTTCAACTTCATATTAATCATCTCCAGCACCACCCCAACATCAACATATGTGAAAATGGCACATTTCTATGTTTTGTATTAAAAAAGATAGAGGAAGATAAGTCTTTCCAATGACATCAACCAATTAGTAGGCAATTAGTAGTCAAGTCCTACACACAATTGGTTAAAATCACACAATGCACACCGATGTCACTGAAAACACTTATCTTGCTCCCTCTTTAAAAATAAATAAAAATAGGGCAATGTTTACATGACCCCCTTACAAACAGGCCCATTTAAAATCCATTCTGATACGCCTTTTATAACTCCTGTGCCCATGCCAGCATGCTGGTGACGAGTGGTAGTAGTGGTGTGCAGATGTGGTTGGGCGTTTATTTTAATAAATCCATTGAATATACACCATCAAAAATAAATCCATTATTAATTTGTTTAAGCAGGTCCTAAGAAATATTATAAGACTAATAAACTGTATTTTCAAAAGAATAGAATAGCATATTTTGAGTTGAATTAGGTGTTACAGGTCTGTGCAGCCATCCAAATAAAATCAATACTTTGTTATTTTGTTAATTAAACAGACAAGACACACTTACCCAATCAACACACATATTTTATATTAAGAATATTATGGAACATAACAGAATAAAATAAATAATATTTGTGTGGAACCGCTGTCATATAAAAAAGTGATATTTTGAAACAGAGCCCAAGTCCATGCATTTTAAATTCACGTTTCATCGCTTTCCTACCCCCACTCCACTTTGTTAGGGAGCAGGCATAGGGTCTTATATTCTCTCAGGGAGACAGTGAAAAACAAAACAGAACAAGAAGTAACAGTAACTTCCTTCAGAGGGGCCGGGGGGTTAACAACATTTCTGAACACCTGCTGTGTATCAAATGACTATGTCGTTTCAGTCAAATTAAGGTTACCTACAAAAATATGTCCTAAAAATTGGATAATGTAAAACAAGCCTAGATGCATTTGAAAGGCCATAACAGTTTACCTAACCAGACAGACAATTGTGAATATTGTCTAGACTAAGACAAAACAACACAGTGGGCTAGATAATACTTTATAATTCATAGTATGACTTTGGCATGGATGAATTTGGCCTACTGAGTCTTGAAAAAATAACATTTATTTACTGTACCATGACTAACAGTAGCCTACATTGGAAAAGAAGCAGCTGGCTGATGTAGGCCTTTATTTATATCTAGGCTACACTAGATGACTGACAGGGGGCGCTGTTTTGAAGCACCGCGTCTCCATTTTACTAGTCCCCCACCATTGTAAAAAAAATTGATTTTGGAAGCAATAGAAATGCATTTATTAATGTCTACATTAGTTTTTGCCACGTTTATTCTATTACAGTCACCTTAATGCATATACTTTTAAAATTATATTATGTGAGCTAAACATAGGAATAAAAAATAAGAATATAGAAAGACATTTTCCTTAAAGTAGATTTTTTAGAGAGTAGGCCTGCTAATGTTACTGTACCCACTACAACAAAACCATTTCCCTGTTTGACCTCTAGGTTTTATTGGTATTATGACACTTCCACTGTGGGGCTCTATAGGAATGAATGGAATTCTACAGTATTTCAATTAGCGGTCAAACAGGGAAATGGTTCCAATTGTTTTTCCACCATTCATTTTTCCCATAGGGGATTTTAGAAACACTTAAAATAAGGTCTGTGTTTCGTGTAGGCTTACCCTGGCATGACATTTTGATAACCATGTAAATCTCTCTCGGACAAGGTGACTTTTATCAATATATTAGGCTCTATTTATTCTGATTCGAAAATGATAATTAGCATTAAAGTAGACATCATGCAAAACTACAAATCCCTAAATGCTCCTGCATGTCATCTCTAGCTGACACCTTTGCTAACAGGTATTGGGTCAATTTAAAACTTGCACAATACATTTTTTTTTGGGGGGGGGGGGTCATTTAGCAGACGCTCTTATCCAGAGCGACTTACAGGAGCAATTAGGGTTAAGTGCCTTGCTCAAGGGCACATCGACAGATTTTTCACCTAGTCGGCTCAGGGATTAGAACCAGCGACCTTTCGGTTACTGGCACAACGCTCTTAACCACTAAGCTACCTGCCGCCCCAGATGAATTGTCCATTTAAATGTAGCCAATTTATTCATTACTACATTTAGCTAACATTAGATAGTTAATCCAGTAATTCTGACCTTTGCCTCGATTCGGCAGGCTGGTTCAGATCATCATGACATGTGTAGTTCTTTATGATAGCCACATTAGCAGCTAATTAGCATTTCATTTGTTGGGTGTGTATTATATATTGATAATATATTGACAAAATTCACCTTGTCCATGAGTGATTTACATGGTTATCAAAACGTCACGCCAGGGTAAGCCTACATGAAACATAGCCCTTATTTTAAGTGTTTCTAAAATCCCTATAGGAAAAATGAATGGTGGAAAAACGATTGGAACCATTTCCCTGTTTGACCGCTATGTTTTATGGGTATTATGACTACTGTGGTAATCTATGGAGGACTGAGTCTTCTCAGGAATACCAATATGGCAGACCGGTGGCTTCAAAACCTCTCATTGGCCAATACATAGCATCAGCAATCTAGTGTTTATATACATCATTGGCTGTTACACATATTACTGTGCCACTGACCCCATTCTAGTGTATTATGGCGGATATGCAGTGTTTTCAGCTGGTCTTGTTGACGCAGTCAAACAATAACAATTGGTTGGATCAATAACTGTATGGCTCTTATGAATAAAAAACAATTAGTTCGGATTGGATTGTATGTGAATGTCACCGCCAAGATATTGTCTGGAGGAGACACCGGCTTTGTCCTTCGATCGCTCACATAAACTGTTAAGATTTCCGTTAGGTTCCCCCACCCCCACGATGGTCACTGTCTCCGAGCGAAGAGTTCTTTGAAACATTACAGATAAATTGTTGCTACTTGTTTTTCTTTCTTGTTACATTGTAGAGCGAGAATGACAGCCATCCAGCATTCCATCGGATGGAATGAGGAGCAGCAGCATTTGCCAGACAGCTGTAACATGCCTCTTAACAAAAGGTGCTGTAAGGCTGGCCTATATTTTAGATAGGCCGATTAGTTATAGAACATTGTATAGCCTACATTGAAATGATATGTAAAGAGAATATAGCCTAAATGACAGGATAAAAGGAGCCATCTTTGTTTAGCAAAGTATTGATTTTCTGTCTGGGTTGTCATAAATGCCCTTTCTGAATTTAAATATGCCTAGTCAGAATAGATTCATCGTGAAATCCATGTTTCCCGGAGGTTTGTGGAAATGTTGAATTATTTGTACACTAATTGATAGGGCTATTAGGACAGTTCTCTACAGGCGCATAAGTGGGCTAAATTCTTGCCAAGCAGTGGCCTATACCTATAATCTTAAACAATTTAAATGTTTTTCCTGAAATTATTAAAGAACAAACTAGCTTTGATGGAACAAATGTGACATTCATTCATTGGTCTATCATGAACCACGCGGTCAGTGCGTTCTCATATTTCAACCACGTTGACAATTCCCTGTCACTGTTTATAGGCTAGAAAAACAGGACATTTCTAATTCATAAAAATCATAATGCCAACCTTGCCGCTGGCAGTCCCTCCGGCTACCCCGATGAGGAAAGGTTGCCGTGTAACATTCTCGTTCTCGGCTTGACTGTCCAGCCTAGTCTCGCTGTCGCCTGCCATGCTTGCTATAAGCGCATACTGACGCACCGAGGTGGTTTTGCTCCGGCTGCGCTCCTCCTCTTTTTTCAGTTGTGCATTTGCTTTGATGCTCTGAGTGTGCGTGGATATCAATCTAGCCTTTTGTAGCCTACTTGAAATGCAGAGCGTTTATATAAGGTTTTACATGTTATTGAAATTATCAGAACTCTGTAAATCATTGCTACATTTTGATTGTCAGCTCAGCACATTTACAATAGTTGTAGTGTGTGTGAGACACAACTACAACAACATAACCAACAAAAACGGGTCACAACTCCTGCAGCTCTGTCACGCGTTGTGTATGTACATAGTCAACAGTAGGCTTCGAGGGGACTCCTACGGTAGGTACACCTATAGGTCATCCCTTGGCAGTAGTACTGTGTCTTGTTTTGTATGCTTTGTACAAAATAATAAAATGCAGGACGACAGGATATTTATAAACGTAGCTCTTTATTAACTAGCTATAACTTGCATGTCCATGTGTCTCTGGCCATGATCATCTTTTAGAATGACCTCACCACCTGGGTGGTCTTAACCAATCATAGCACAGTATGATATGACAGTATAATGCATCCAATTACAATTCAGTATGCTGACACATATGAATATTACATCCCCCTTCTTTTAAAAAAAAGAAAAAATATGTAGAACAATAAAGCGTTTCTTTTGAATATATGCTCTGTAGTTTGAACTCGAGGTAAGTAACCATTTAAACTGCACCAACTGCATCAACATAACAGACAAACAATGATTCAGCATACTGTTACTTTTAGAACAAACATTTCTCAGCAACTCAGCTTTTCACTGTAGCAATGACATCTCAACATATCAAACAAATACCATACCAAAGCATTTCAAGTTAACTTTCAATAACAAGTTTACAGTCTGGAACTCTTTTAGGGCAGAGATCCGCCTACACCCTTTGACATTTCACAGGTCTAGGACAGCTCTAGGCTTGACCTCTCTTCCTGACCTTGTGTGATATGAAGCTGAGCATGCTTCTGTGTCAGTCAACTGTTCTTGTGGTGTTGCAGGTAAGTATGGTGTATGTTGTGTTGTGTCTGTGTTTAGTCCACCCCGTTCTCTTTCAGGGGAACAGTTCATCTCGTCAGTGTGTTGTTCTTTTGTGTTCAGTAGGTGACGACGATTGCGGCGGTACACCGCTCCTTCTGCGGTGCGAACGAGATATGAACGTTCAGTGTCAGCTGGTTGGATGACGACTGCTGGCTTCCAGTAGCCATGCTCCTGGATTCTAACTGACTCTCCGTCGTTCAGTGGTGGCAGTGGTCTGGCTGACCTGTCGTAGTATCGCTTTTGCTGTTGTTGCCTCTGTGCACGTTTTGCATGCATTTCCTTGTAGCTGACGACCTCAGGTTGCAGCTGCTGGTTGGTGCTGGGAAGGATTGAGCGAAGTCTGCGGCTCATCAACAGCTGGGCTGGTGATTTGAAGTTGTCAACTGGAGTGTTGCGGTATTCAAGGAGACTGAGGTAGGGGTCTCTCTTGTCTGCTTTTGCTTTGTCCATGAGTGATTTAGCGATCTGCACAGATTTTTCAGCAAGGCCATTACTTTGAGGGTAATGTGGGCTTGTGGTGACGTGTGTGAACTCCCATGCTTTTGTGAAGGATTCAAACTCATTTGATTTGTAACAGGGCCCATTGTCAGATATTAAAGTCTCTACAATGCCATGCCTGGCAAAGGCTGCTTTCAGCTTGTGTATCACAGCTGCAGATGTGGTGCTGTGAAGCTTGTCGAGTTCGAAGTACCTGCTGTGGTAGTCCACTGTTATAATGTAGTCCTCGTTGTTCCACGTGAACAGATCGGTTGCCACGACCTGCCAGGGTCGGTCTGGGATACGGTGAGGTAACATTGGCTCTTTGGTGTTCAAGGGGCGTCGTTCAAGACAGGTGGGGCATTTACCAACCATGTCCTCTATTTGTTTGCACATTCCGGGCCAAAACAAAATGTCCCGTGCTCTCTGTTTGCACTTTTCCATGCCCATGTGTCCAGCATGGATCTTTGTCAAAATCTCTTCTCTGAGACTGGTAGGAATGATGATTTTCTCTCCTTTGAAAATGATTCTGTTGATCTGTGATAGTTCGTCACGATGGTTCCAGAACTCTGAGACGCTTTGAGGGCATTTTCTCCTCTCCTCAGGCCATCCTGACTGTATGACTTTCCTCAGCTGTGTGAGTTGTGTGTCTTTTTCGGTTTCTGCTCGGATCTCCTTCAGTTTTGTGTCACTAACTGGTAAGTTGCTGTACACAGTGTGCACCTGCATGTCCATGCCTTCACTGAGGCTGCTGTCCTTGTAGGTAAGAAACTTCCTGGAGAGTGTGTCTGCGACAGGGATGTCTTTGCCTGGACGGTGAGTGATTGTGAAGTCGTATTTTTGTAGTTGAAGGATCATTCTCTGTAGCCTTGGCGGGGCTGCGGCTAACGGTTTCCTCATGATTGACTCGAGGGGCTTGTGGTCTGATTCCACAATGACTTGTCGTCCATAGACATACTGATGGAAACGCTTACATCCGAACAGAATGGCATACAGCTCCTTTTCGATTTGAGCGTAGTTGATTTCACAGTCTGTGAGAGATTTGGAAGCGTAGCCGATGGGTTTTCCTTCTTGCAGTAGCACTGCCCCTAGTCCATACTTCGACGCGTCCACCTAGAGTCTGAGCTCTTTGTTGGGGTCGTAGTAGGCAAGGATTGGTCCTGGTTCTCTCGTGATCAAGTCTTTCACTTTCTGGAAAGCGATGTCGTGTTGGTTGTCCCAGAGGAACTCACTGGACTGCTTTAGCAGCTGACGCAGGGGTGCATTAGCATTGGAGAGGCTGGGTGCGAACTTGGCTAAGTAGTTGACCATGCCAAGCACTGTTTCCAGCTCTGCGCGGTTCTTTGGTGGCTCCATTTCCTTTATGGCTGAGATCTTCTGCGGATCTGGCTTGATTCCATTCGCTGTGAGAAGATGTCCGAAGTAGCTGACCTCTGTAGCGCCGACTGTGCTCTTCTCGGGGTTGAGCCGGACTCCTCTCTCGCGGGACCTTTGCAGCATCGCGTTGAGGTTTCTGTCGTGTTCCTCTTTGGTTCGACCATAGACAAGGATGTCGTCCACAATTGCCACGACTCCGTCGAGGCCTTCGTACACCTCGTCGATCTTTCGCTGAAACTCGTCTTGGGCTGAGATAATCCCAAAAGGCAGGCGACGGAACCTGTAGCGTCCAAACGGTGTGTTGAACGTTGTGAGCTTAGATGACTCTTCTGTGAGCTTGATAGCCCAGTAGCCTGATCTGGCGTCCATGACACTGAAGTAGCGTGCGCCCGCTAGCTTGTGTGTGATGCCATCTAGCGTCGGTAAGGGGTAATGGGGGCGTTTGATAGCCTTGTTCAAGTCTCTTGGATCGAGACACACTCTGAGCTTGCCTGTGCGTGGTTTCTCCACCACCACTAACGCGTTGACCCAATCCGTCGGTTCTGTAACCTTGGTGACGATGTCAGATTGCTCCATGCTCTCCAATTCTTTCTTCAGACGGGCGCGGAGAGCAAGTGGAATCTTTCTCGGTGGGTAGACCACAGGGGTTGCGTCTGGGTCAAGGTGAATGGTACATTCTCCTGGGAATAGTCCTATTCCTGTAAAAACATCAGCAAACTCCTCCATGACATTCTCTATCTCTACTGGTGCTGTCACTGATACATTTACATTTTTGTCATTTAGCAGACGCTCTTATCCAGAGCGACTTACAGTTAGTGAATACATATTTTTTTATACTGGCCCCCCATGGGAATCGAACCCACAACCCTGGCGTTGCAAACGCCATGCTCTATCAACTGAGCTACATCCCTGCCGGCCATTCCCTCCCCTACTCTGGACGACGCTGGGCCAATTGTGCGCCGCCCATGAGTCTCCCGGCCGGCTGCGACAGAGCCTGGATTCGAACCAGGATCTCTAGTGGTTAGCACTGCGATGCAGTGCCTTAGACCACTGCGCCACTCAGGAGTACTGATAAAACTAGCTTGATAAGGTCCATGTCTAAACATACTTTAAGACCTAGCACTGCAGGTGCTCGAGTGTCAACAACGTAAAAGTCCAACATCATGTCCCTTTCCTTGTATTTGCATTTGAGAGTGCATGTGCCTTTTACTGGGAGCTGTTCACCACCATAACCAGTCAGTCTGCGCGTGGTGGGCTGTAGCTCACACTCAGATGTCAAGCTTCTGTACTTACTCAGAGGAATAATGTTTACTTGTGCACCAGTGTCTAGTTTGAATTTTAGCTCTGTGCCTTGTCTTCCTATCTCAATGTCAGCAAAGGCTTGCTCTGTCTCTGATATCTGACTTTTCTGTGTCACTGAATCAATAAACAGTTCATCAGCATTTGACTCTTTGATTGACATTTCATCTTCACTCACTGTATGTACTGTTTTTCCACGGTAAACTCTGCACACTTTTGCAAAGTGATTCCATTTTCCACATTTAGTACACTGTTTGCCTTTAGCTGGGCAATTCCCCTGTTCGCCATGCACTTTGTATCCACAATATCCACATGTTTTGGGGCGTTTGGAGTCTGTGTCGCTCTGTTTTGGAGTTCTGTCTGTCTCCGTTCTGAAACATGCTCTCTGGGCACTGGAGGTGTGCTTTGATGTCTGCCTGACTGCGTGCACTGCTTGTTCACGTGATGCGCTCGTGCTGCCGCCTGAAATGGTTTTCATCTGAACCTGTGCTAGCTCGTGAGATCTGGCTATGTCGATAGCTTTGTCCAGCGTTAACTCTGATCCAACATTCAAAAGTTTCTCTCTCACTCGCGGTGAGTGTATTCCAAATACAATACGGTCCCTGACCATCTCATCCTTGTTTGCATAATCACAGTTTTTCACAAGCAGACGCAGCTCAGTGACAAACTGTTCAAACGATTCGCTAGCGCCTTGTACTTTCTCATGGAATTTGTACCTAGCGAAAATTGTATTGGTCTTTGGCACAACATATGCTTCAAAACGATCGTAGTATATTTTCAGTACCTTTGATTCAGCCTCGGTAAGTGTCCATGTG